CTTGTACTTGGAAACGAATTAAACAACGTCGCATTCAATACCAACGATGATAGCTATTTTAAAATACTTGCTTCAAGGTTCAAACATCTCTTGGACATGAAAAAAAGGTCGTCGTCTCGTTCAAAACGCGGCTTCGACTTATACAATTATTTTCACATTGTCACTTGCAGATTTACAGATTAAGATATTCGCCATCTAGCGGTGAAGGCTCGAAGCGTTATTACTGTTTTTTCGAGTGGTTGAAAGCTCGTCTAAAGTTTATGAAAAAATTAAACGTTTTCAAGTAATTTAAAATCGGCTCAATATTTGTTACATAATTTTTACAAAAAAATCATCCAATTAATTACGATGCATTTTCAAACATTTAAAATTGTAAGTTTTTTTCATCATTCGATCATAATCAATGTTAAGTAATTCTACGAGAAAGAGCGAGAAACACGTAAACGTAATATTATTTCAAGTAAGTTACCGGAAAGAGACAGAGATATGGCTTAAATGAAACCCCAAAGACGTGCAAAGCAGCTCGCGCTCGGCACATGTGTGTGCACCAATATCGTATATCTGGCGTATAGGAGCTGAGGCTCGACGCGCCCGAGCAGCTCCAACTCCGATTGGGCGTGTGCGCAAAGCGATCCTCTCTTCGCATTAAATAGGATTTAACATCGTCGAGCTTGCCTTCGTTAATCAACGCTCAATAGTGATATGCATACACTCGCAGATGTGCATACGCGTTCGTATACGGTTTACCGGCATACGGCACGAGTGAAAATGGTATCGCTGTATATGTGCTCGATGTGTACTCGCTTGTTTTATTTATTTATTTTTCGTTCAATTTAAATTCATTCATTATATCACAAATAATTTTATGACATATTTTTCTAAAAATTCACGTTAACGTCCAAAAACAAAAACGAACTGTCGATCCGTACCCGCAGCAAATTTTTTTTTATTTAGCTCACGAACGTGTCGCTACATATACGTAAATCGCAATAAGCTATCGCGTAAATCGTTCACGCATAGGTACACCAATATCTCCGCATTGAAAATGCACGACGTATTAATCGAAAAGTAATTGACCAAAACACGCGCAGCTGTACCAACGAGCCTATACACGCACACATACATTCGACGGGTATTCCCCGAGCGGCCCCCGAAGGCATGATACATCGTGTATACGTGTATGCGCATATGTGCAATAATTACGAAGCGATACGAAAGAAAAGTCGCTCGCGAACGAAACGTTTCCGTGCGTGTGTGTCGTTGGCCGCACATAGCTATTATCAGTTGCGAATACGAACCGGGCGGCTTATATACATGCGGGTTCCGTACTACAGCTCGAGCGATTAGCCTTTGGTGCTCCGCCGGTGCGGTTATCGGTACGCGAGCCTGACGTGGACGCACGAACTTTACCCGCGTGTGTGTATGTACAAGCGCAATCTCGCCCATACGCCGTGTCACATGGTGTACGCAGTCTCGAAAAACCAGAGAAGTAAAAGAAAATGTATAATTTTATTTATTCATCTTTTTTTTTATATACGTTTTTGTAACTCTTTTAAATTTTATTACGAGCACGTAAAATTTTACTCTCGCGTACACGAAATTTTGCCACATTCGCTTTACTCGTATACACACGTAGGTATACGTACAGTACTGCGGGGGCGTGTATTATATAATGAATGCGCGCGCGCGCACGAGTTAGAAGGACACGGCGGAGCTGCAAAAATGCCCCCCGCACAGCCACAAACTACGAAATTATACACACACACACACACACACACGTACATTTATAAAGCAAGAATTAGTGTGTACATGGGTGTGTGTGTGTGTGTGTGTGTGTTGATGTGTGCGGGTCCGGGACACTACTGCCACAGCACACACACAACACATATATGTATGTACAATTCGTCAGTCTCGTTACGCGCGCTCTCGAGCGTGATGCTGATTGTAAGCCTCGTTGAGCGCGCCGCGCGTTTTCATCCGCCGGTATATATATGTATATGTAGCCAGCTGACAAGTGACGAGTTTCGTCCACTGCAAGCTCGTTGCCCTACCCATACATACATACGTATATAAACGTCCATGCATGTGTGCGTATACGTACAGAGGGTCCACTGTACGCGCAATGCACAGTACATACCTGCACGTATGCATTATATATTATAGTTGCACAGAGAGACAGTGAGAGAGCTAACCGTAGAGTTTGTTACGTTCGCGGCCGAGGCTATAATACACGTACGTCACACATGCACACACCGTTATAATTTATATAATGTGTGTCCAAAACCCTCCTCGCGCCCTCTCGTGCTTGGCCTTTTCTCTCGCGCCTCGTCGTTCGACCATATAGTTGGAATGCCCCAGCAAATAATATAACGCACGAGCTTTGTTACGCTGTAACCCCGCGCGACGATTTCGACCTCCGGCTCTTTTTTTTCGACGACTACTTTAACGCAAATATGCGCGATGAACGTGTAAAAATTCAATCGATGCTAACGCAGCCTATCATCGGCGATACACGGATGTAAATTGTATAATCGCATTTCTCAACTTGTAATTCGAGAAGATGTGCATATTATTATGGTAGAAATGCTGAACATTGATATTTAAAATGGTTTAATAAATACAATAAATACACGACCATTTAATCGTTGCTACCGATCACTCTTGACAGAAACAGCCAGTGTCTGTCGGCAGATTTATAAAAATCTTTGACTAGTGAGTGTTTAATTAATTTAGGGTTGCGTATCATTACCCGTTGTTTATTAAAAATTCACAAATAGTCAACTGAACGCTCGCCCAGCCAGAAAAAAAAATGAACGAGATAATCCATCGTGGAGATGAATTAATCGTCGACCAATAATAAAGTACTTATAACTATATAAATGCCTGAATTATTTATTATTATACTTATCCAGCTCGTCTTTCGAACGTCAACACGTAATAATAACTTGTCACAGGTGTTTACACTCTGTACAGATCGTAGCGTACGATGTATATAACAGATCAGTTTCGCCTCGGAGCTAGAACCAACACATAAATATCTCGTCGATTGCAGCAAGTGGTTTCTGAATAATTTAAATTTCATTATTATATAAGTGACTGTGTGTGTATAAATGCACTAAAAGTAAAAAAAAAAAAAAATGGACATGTCGTGGGCAAAATACAGAAGCTATAACAACGTATATCAAGTAAATCAGAAAAGGCTGGAGATACTTCATAGCTTGAAACGAAACGTCAACTGGGACGTCGAAGCCGAGAGAGCCGCACTTCTACGACCAATCATGACAATTATCGGCGACGAGTGGAAGGGCGAATTACCCGACCTGCGCACCATCTTCAGGTCCAAGGAGATCGACAAGCTGCTCAAGACCGCGGTGAAGTCGAGCCACTACAGGCGGCAGTTCATCAACCTGGTGATACGCACGGGCTACCGGGACGTGCCCAAAGTGAACCATGACGGGGTGCCGTATCTGCGACGCACGACGGCCATCCACCACGCGGCGCGCGACAAGTGGCCCGACGTCGAGGCCATACGCCAACTCTTCTGGATCTACGCCAGGCACGACATCGACTACGTCGACGAGGCCGGTGTGACGCACTTTCACGTGGCCTGCCGGTCGGGCTGCGCGGAGGTCGTCCAGTCGTTTCTCCGGCTCGGCCAGGACCCCAATTGCTTGCAGCGCAAGACGGGCGACACGCCGCTCGATCTCGCCCTGGACAACGGTCGCGAGGTAGTCGCTCGGCTGCTGCTGTACTGGGGCGCGGATCCGAACCTGGGCCGACGGCGCTGGCTCCAACGTGCTGCGCATCCTGCGCGACCAGCTGAAGCAGCCGGTGCAGCTGGTGATCAGAGAGAAGCCGGGCGTGACGCACTTTCGAGGGGCCTGCTAGTCGGGCTGCCAAGAGATGATAGTCGAGTCGTTCCTACAGCTGGGTCAGGACCCGAAGTACTCGCAGCGCGAGATGGGCGACACGCCCCTCTATCTGGCCCTGGACAACCATCGATTCCCAAATTGATGTTATATGGGCTGATTTTATTTTTTTTGCACCATATGGATTTGACGGAGATTCGGTCACATTGATCTGTGTCTTGATTTCTCACAAAACGTTTAGGCGCAGAATTATGATTTTGGTTTAAACCGTAAAATTTATGTTATGAAGTAAAATGTTATACAAAAAAATTATAATTTCTTGTATGCCAGTTAAAAATGCATTCAATGAAATAAAAACATCTATTTTTACATATTAAAAATACTATTTTATTAAATAGGACCAAAAGATTAATTACATTACATTGACAACAATTTAATTTTTTTTGCGTAAAGAACACAATATCGTTTTTGCCGAGTATAGTAAAAAAATATCTAGGTGACATTGAAAATGCACGTAAAAATAGGATCTTCAACTTTCAATACAGGACTTTCATTGATTATACCATTAATTAACTATAAACCTTTTTTGAGGAATTATAAATAGTATTACACAGCCTTTATATTGAATAGATCGCGAAGGTTTAGAAAAAGATAAAAAAGCTCAAAGGATTAGCTGTATAAGAACAGCTGCAGATTGTGAAACTTTTGTAATCCTCCTTACTTAAAATAATGATGGACCTGAAAGTAAAGCCAATCTATTCGGCCTGTGATTGGTTGAGTTACTTATGCCTCGAGACGAAATGCAATTAAGTGACACCTATGATCAAAATAGTAACTTTTATAAGACCCTACTGAAAAATTGATGCGCGCGAAACGCACCTGAAAGTTACTAGTGTATGTAAAAATTCAATTTTAATTTCTCATCATGCAGCGATCCTCGTAGAACTAATCACATGTATACCGCAAAACGGTTTCATAACTGGCTTCTTCGATTTAGTCTCTACTAAGTACTTTTCGATTAATTGTAAGCTTCGATAGCGAACGACGATTTCAAGCTCACCAAGCTACCCCTTTCTAGCCATAAAATAATAATCGAACGATGCAATGTCCGCAGGATGTCGTTACGAGGGCAAGCGCTACGCCGAGGGCGACCACGTCGGTACGAGCGAGCCGTGCCTGCAGTGCCGCTGCGCCGACGGCTCGCTCAGGTGCCGGCTGCGGGTCTGCCCCAAGCTGCCGGACCCGATGCCGCCGGGCTGCAGATCCGAGCCGCCGCCGCCGACCACGGAGCACCACGTCTGCTGCGCCAAGATCGTCTGCGACGGCGACCATTCCGTTCCGCAAAGAAGTAAGCGATTTCCATAAAATATCTCTCTTTAAATAAATACGGGGCTGATAACTTGGTCGATCGATGTCTCGCAGGTGAGAGCGAAAATTTGCTTCAACGTTCCAAGACGACGGCGGTGGAGGCGGCGGAACGTCCCAACAAGGAGGAAGGTACGAGCTCATGATTTTTTGCGTTTCTAAAAAATGTCTAGATAGTCGTATTTTGAATAATAAACATTTTGTATCTTGTCACTCGCCACCACCACCACCACAGGATGCGTCTACGAGGGCGTCCGCTACGGGCCGGGCTCGGCGATGATGGGCTCGCGACGCTGCGAGTACTGCTACTGCATCTCGGGTGCGCGCAAGTGCATCCAGCCCAAGTGCCTGCTGCCGCTGCCCGGCTGCGTGCCCCTCTACAATCCGCACTCCTGCTGCCCCGTCGCCTACAACTGCACCCGTGAGTATATATACGTGCACTACCACATTACGTGTATTATAAAGACTTCCCATAAAAAACTTTTTTTTTCTCTGCTCGCGACAATTATTTCGAGTTGCTCGAGCGACCGGCAAGGGCCTGCGCACGCTCGAGTACATGTAAATAAAGTATACGTTATTCTCAGGGCTCTTAATCAAGTTGTTGCCCGCGGCCCGTAAGTGTACGATTATGATGCTTTCTTGTTACAGGTCAAGCGGAGTTCTCGACAACCCTAGCCGCGATCTCGGCTTTCGGTGAGTGTTATTATAATACATACACGTATATATAATATACGTTTTAATTCTAAGCCGCGCGCGTTTGCCGCTATTATTATACAGTAGCAGTGGTAAGTACGAAACGTCGTTCGTAATACGAGCCCGAGTCAATCTTCCACGGCTCTTTCGTGCACCTCCGGTATAATAACAATATACGCGTGCGATTAAGCTCGTGGCTCACGCGACTTTTGCTCGGAGCTTTTATAAATTGTGCCGTGCACGAGACGGAGGAATAAGTAAGCAATATAAAATATACGAACGTTAACGTTATAATACCGCAAAGTCGGTCAGCGGAACGTCGAAGCGCATCCAATGATATTAAAGGCAAGCGCATTATACAGGGGTCGCTCGGGCGGCCTAATTGAAAACCGACCGAGCGTACACACGTATTATCGTACATGTTATCGCATTTATATATACGCACGCAGGTTGCCGCAAGGGCCAGCGCGTCTATCAGGAGGGCGAGATGGTGCGCGACATACCCTGGAAGGCGGCCTGCGACAATTGCTTCTGCGCCATGGGCGCGATACGCTGCGTGCCGCTTGCCTGCGCCCCGCCACTGCAGGGCTGCCAGCCGATCGTGCGCCCAGGACAGTGCTGCCCGTCCACCTACAATTGCAGTAAGCTCGAGACGATACGACGATAATAATGATAAAATAATCGATGTATCGAGGTGTTGATACAATTATGCGTTGTTTTTTTTTTGTTGTCGTTGCTCAGGTGGAACGATCGAAGTGAAGGCGGAACAGAATTTCGCCTCGTACGCGTTCATCAGCAAGGACTACGCGAAATTTCGCAAGGAGAATCATTACTACGTGAGTTACGTCGTATAATTATCAACGACGACGATCGCTACTAAAGTCGCTTATAATAATTACGTATAGCCCGCGATTCACGATCCCGCGCTGACGAGCATCGAGGGAAGGGGCTACAGGGTAGTCAACGAGATCCTAGCACCGAGCTCGCTGGCCAGCGGAAGGAGCAGCAGCGGCGGCGGCGTTGGTGGTTTGTCCGACTCAGCGACCGAAAAGTTTTCCCTCGCTAACGACAGCAGTACCACCGAATCGATAATAAGCAGCGACGAGGACGGCAATAACGACGACGACGACGACGCTGGCACAGAAGAACACGACGACGACGACGTCGGTGACGGAGACGGAGATGGAGGTGGTAGCTCAGAGACGGAAACGATGAATAACGAAATCATAGGCGAGACGACGGATTATCCGAAGCAGCAGCAGCAGCAGTCCACCACTACCACCATCACCACCACCGGCGGCAAGCTCGAGGTATTTTATATATACTTCCCCAGTCGTCCCTCTTATCTCTCTTCTTCCTTCCTTTTAATAATTGTATGATTCGCCATTGAGAGAGTCCGAACTGCGGAGTCGGCGAAATTGAAAACTTTGTATACTATATACGTCTCGGTGACATAGAAAGTTCGGCCGCAGAGAAATATATATCTATAAAATATAATCCCAAGATAAAAGCTGGAGATTTTCTTGTGAAATGCTCGGGCTCTTTCAGTTGTCGTCGGAGATTACGCTGGATCAATCGGTTACCACTACTACTACTACGGCGGCACTGGCTGCATCGGACAACGACGAACAGACGAGCAATTACGCGGACGCGGAGCCGAATACTTCGCCGCCGGAGACGACTCCGATGCCGGCAGTGGTGGTATCAACGACCGCTGCGAGTATCGCCAGCCCCGAAGTGTCCGTAGGTGGTGACGTAATATCCATCTCGATGCTGTCCAGCGAGAACTGCTCCAGTCACGGGTAAGCCGATGTTACGTTTTCCGGTGTTTGCGAGAGAGAGAAAAGATCGTTTAAAGTTTATGAATTTTGCAGGCAGGACGACTTCGAGACGACGTTGAGTGACAGAGCTGCTGCCGAGTCGACGTCGTCGGTGAGTGTCAACGTGACTGAAGCTGCAACGACGACTTCGATGCCGACAACGAGTACAACTGCAGCGTCAACGACCACGACGACGACGACTACGACAACGAAGAAACCCTCGAGTAGCGGTACTACGCCGAGGATAAAAATAAACAAGAAAAATTCCACGTCTTCGGCGAGGCCGACGAAAAAGAACAACGGTAACGGTAGGCCGTCCAAGTCCACGCAGAAGCCGCACACGAAGAAAAATACGACCAAGAGATTGGGGTCCGGTAGCAAGATAGCCACGAAGAACGACAACAGCAACAACAACGTCATCGAGAAGAGCAGCATAGTCGCCCAAGTGGACAAATCCAGCGTCACCTGTACGAACGGCACCACCGACGAGACTACTACCACCGATACTAGCACGAGTACTAGCCCAGCAACGACCTCCACTAGCACTAGTACTACTACCACTACAACGACGACTACGACTAGCACTACTACTACCACTACTACGGAGAGTCCCGAGGTCACTACCTTGGCCTACGAGGAGGAAGCCGAACGAACGACTACGACGAGCATCGATCGGATAAGCGACGATAACGAGCCAATTATGGAGAGAGATAAAATCAACGACGATAATGACGAGGGGGAGAAGACGATCTCCATGATATCGGTGAAAAATCCATCGAGCGGCCTGTCGACCTCCATACTCGTGCCCAACGACATGCTGGTGATGAACGTCACCGTCAAGACCAACGTGGCCGTCGAGACGATTTACGGCAACAACAAACATCAGGAGGCGGGAGCTAGTAGTAGCGGTGGTGGTAATGGCAACAAGCCCAGTATGTCTCCGGACGTCCAGGCGATTCTGAACATCACGAGAAGAAAGGGAGACGCCGCTGGTGGCGCTGGCGAGGATTACGAGTTCGATTACAACGAGCCGACCCTGCCGCCCTCGCTGCCGAACGTCAGGTAATAATATGGCACTTTATCGATTATTTGGTTTTCGCGTTTGATTTATTACGAGAGGTTTTTCGGTGTTAATGAATTTTACCCAAACATTTAATTTTCACCGTCTTGAGACCCTATCTGAGAAGTCGTTTTAGCTATAGACCAATACGTAAGCTGAGGTACGGCGACCGACCGCTAGATGGCTTTATCCCAATTTTTAAGAAACCCACTTACAGAGTAGCAAAGATCGGGAGTTAAAAAGCCCACATATTCGTAGACAAGCCAAATTTAAGCCTTACAAAAGTTAGTTTTGGAGTCGGGCCACGACGCGTCTACGAAGGAAGCGTAAATAAATAAAAATTCCCTCTTCATTTTCTGTCCCCCATAAGAATGTAACACGATAAACTATAGTAAAAAAAGCCTGTCATCGTGCGCCTTGCCATCTCGACTCTATCGGCGAAATAATTTTCTCGTCCGTCGCGTCTCATCGCGACACAGTTTCATTATTTTTATATTGTCCTCTATATTTTTGTCGCGCTCGCAGGATAATACCGTTCGTAGCGGCGGACGCTCTGGTGAAGGACAAAGACGGCGAGGTGGTGTCCTCGTCGTCGTCGGTGGCGACCGGATTTCCCGCCGTCGGAGTCGTCCCGGAACTCCGTAACGATGCCAATTTTTACGACATCGTCACGCAAACGAGTCGCTTCAGTCCGCCCGCAAAAACGGAAGGTAAATACAATTTTATTTTTTGTTTCTCTTTGTTCTATTATATTATGAGCTAAGCAAGATATATCGTGGTTCCTTAAAGGAGGGATCTATATATATTTAATTAAATAAGCAAATGATTTTCGTCCTTTTATTTTTTGAGGAACAGGTGGCTTCGTGCCGAAAGATCAGTCTCACTTCGACGCGCTCTTCCACTCGTCTGCCTCGGATCTGAATTTGGAGGTGAGCACCGGCGTGACTGTCGCGCCCGAGGAGATGCCCGTGCCACCGAATCCACACAGAAAAACCGATGGTTCGTGCATTTCTTTATAATAAATTCATGATACCGATCGAATTGAAATAACAATAAAATCATTCTCTTTTCATCAAAGTCATGTCGAACAAGTGCCTGTACGAGGAATTGGAGTACACCCACGGCCAGTTCTTACCGAGTCGAGCTCTATGCGTGAGGTGCATCTGCTACTTCGGCCAAATCATATGCTCCAGTCGCAAGTGTCCACCGCTGAAGATCGGCTGCAAAAGAATCAGCGATCCCAACAACAAGTGCTGCGACAACGTAGTTTGCGGTTCGATGCTCTTCTCCCCCCTTTTTCCGACTCAATCGCCACTAGATCTTAATCGTGGTCAATTGCTTTTTTTTTTTCACAGCCGACGGCGTGGAGTCGCCTACGGTCGTGCTGGATCGGGCCGACTCGGAGTCGTCGTCGCAGCACGAGCCGACCGTCTCGCCGGATCCGTTTCGCGACGTGATCAAGACCGAGCCTGCGCCCGATCTGTCCTCGCTCATCGGCGAGATGCAGCCGCCCTACCTGATGCCGGAGCCGAGCTTGACGGCGACTACGACGACGACGACGACGACGACGACGGTGGCAACGATTACGTCGAGCGAAGCCAGCCCCGCAGAGGATCAGCAGCAACAGCAGCAGTCGCTGTCACCACCGCCGCTGACTTCGGTCGACGATTTCTCCCGTTACAACGACAGCCACGACGACGACGATGGTGGCAACAACGAGACGGATGCGGCGGCATCGGTGTCGATCACGAGCAAGAGCTTCAGCGCCGACGACGTGACCCTGACGACGACCGACCCGATCATCAAGGACAACGAGGCCGACGACTCGTCGATATTTTCCCTCGACAGCGTGTTCAATCTGTTCTTCGACGACGACCGGCCGGCGGAAACTTGGGGCGAGAAGACGGCGGCCGCGGCCAACGTCACGAATTCCTCATCGATCGTCAAAGTTCCAGCACCGACGACGACCGGCTCAACGACGGCAGCGACGGTTATCTCGTCGAGTAGTACAACGACGACGACGACGCCGACGTCAACGACAGAGCCAACGAGCCCGTCGACTTCGACGACGGAAGTGACATTTACGACGCTGGAGGAAAGCAGCAGTAGCGAGCCGACGACAACAACTACAACAACGACTCCGACGACGACGACTACAACGACGAAGAAACCAGCGACCCAAGCGGATAACGATCCCCTGGGCTTGCTCAAGCTCGCCGGCTGCAACATATACGGCAAGATGTACCGGGTCAACAGAATCATCGCCGAGCTGTCGAGCGACTGCCGCGAGTGCAGATGCAGCGAGTTCGGCGTCCAGTGCAAGAGCCTCGATTGCTGAGATACGAACACGTCTATGCAAAGTCGTGTAATAAACTGGGCCCGGAAAGCTCGTGAATAATTATTTTGTAAACGGACATCGTTCGATGTAAACCGAGGCGCGCGCTCGAGATTCTCTTGAGATTCGTTATCCGCGCGCGAATTCGATACGGTTTTTGACGGAAAATTTTTACGAATCCACAAAATATAGTTGTAGTATCAGTATTATTAGAAGAATTTTTAGTGAATGCAATATGAATTTCGCGTATATATCTACAGTATGAATTCTGTAATAAAGTTTATTTAATTAAAACTGTGTACTCCGAGTATAACTCACAAAAAAAAAGAATAAGGCAAATATTTACGTTTCGCACGCCATTCGTTGTAACTTTGACTCACAGAGGATCTGATTTCAGCCTGTTGATCTTGACGTTGAATGATAAAGAAAATATTTTACCTCGTGAAATCAAACGAAACAAAATTTCGCTCCAACGAAAGTAAATACGAAGTATATAATGTAATTCGAAAATTCACGATAGATGCTAAACTCGTGCAATATATAAGTAGCATATATATATAGTCGCACTCGTATTAATCGTATGTTATGTATATAAAAAAGCATATCGACATTTGAGATATAATTTTATTACTCGAACGGATAAAGATCAATAATTATTAATTAAAATTATAAGATGTAGCCATCGAATAAGCTATAAAAAGCCATTTTTGTACGTCAACGTTGTCTATAATGTAATAGCTAGAATCTTTTTCAACTCATACTTATACGAATCGCATCCAATACTTAGTTCTGTAAGACAGCTTTTTCTCTATTCGAAGTAAATAAAGACAATAATAAGAACACGAATTTACCATCGTTCACCGTTTAATTGAGACGGCGCTTGATTTAAGTGAGAGATGATGTTTCGTTCGTAGAGCAGAGCATTGACTTTCCTTTCTCTCTCTCTCTCTCTCTCGGCTCTTACTCTCTGCAAGCTCCGTCGAAACTTCCTTCCGAGGGACAAAACAGAGATTCTCTATATTATATTCGTACCGTATATATAAATGTAATTCGAGGAAGAGCTGCCAAGCTCGGCCACACACACACACACCGACGACTACGCGCGGTGCAACTTCTCGGGGATCTCCGCTGCAAGAAACTTCTTAAAGCTCCGCGCCAGAATATTATTCGGCCGTGACACTGCTCGTGAATCTCTGTCGTAGTCGTCGTCGTCGTCGTTTTCCCACCTTTCATATACCTGACCTCTCACTTGACTCGTAGAAAGTGAGAGAGACGCAGTCACGTCGTCTTTCTCTCTCTCTCTCTCTCTCTGCACCGAGGCGCGCAGTAATATAGTTACACTATTTAATGTAAAGAGAAGCCACGGGGAGAAGGGCGAAAGGAAAGGTTCCCTTTTGTCGCTCACGTCAAGCGAGGGATGCGCTCCTCCTCGGGGCCATTGTGTCTCAGCTGCAATGCTCCTTTACTCTCGTCGAGTCGTCGTCGTCGCGTTTATCGCACACAGAAAGGAGCTAGGTTATATAGAGTGGGACGAGGTCCTAAAAGCAGAGGCAAACTCAAAGCTCATCTTGCCGGCGAGTCCAGATACGTCTCTTAATCTCCTATTATCTTTTATCTTTCATTAAAACATTATTCTCCCCCGGCTGATGTAAGACAATAGACTCGAGTGCGGAGGAATGGAGGTTAGAGAGTAAGGAAGAAGCATACAAGGCGCGGTGACTTACCCACAGAGAGCTTTTCGAGGATGCGCGTATAATAGGTAGAGCTGCTCTCCTTAGACTTTGTGTGTGCTGCTGCATTGAGTCAATCATAGAGAGCAAAGAGCGAAACGATCACGATTGAGAAGCTGCGAAATTTTTGAGGGAAATTAAGGTAAGAATGAAAAGACACGGATTGCGTTTTATGTTTTTTTGATTTATTTATTTATACTTTTTTGAGCATGAAATGCCGGCACCATATAAAGGGAAATAACGAATCGTTTTGTGTTGTTACTTTTTTTTTTCTTCCGTTCTCTACAATAAGATTACTAGGAATAATCAATAGTTTTCATTTATTTACAATCATTGTAGGGGATTACGTCATATACATAAAAGGTGTGTTTTTTAACGTTACATATAATATATATAATTTGTAATATATAATTTTCCGGTACATTAATGTGTATCGTTAATTATTATTAAAATAATCACAGCCTGCTTTCTTCAATTTTTAACCGCGTACAGCTGACGAAATCCCTCCTCGTTATTTATTTTTTATTAATTTAAAAATTGCAAGAATTCAGTTGATTACTCGGAGTAAGTATGTGTGGGTGTGTATAAAATAACGAAGAAAAAAAAACTCGACCGAACGTAACGACGAGTGGTACATTTTTTTTTCCTCTCTACGGTCAATGCATGCGCTCTCACATTACAAACACTCGTTTTACATCGCACACGCTCAATATACCGGGCAGTGTACACTTTTATTCATCTATTTATGTATTTATTGGTTTCTTTTTTTTTTACAACAAATAGCGTGATGCCCTCGTATTTTACAAACTTTACACTCTTTATCTGGATCATCATCGTTTTTTTTTCTCGTTTTATGTTTTTTTTTCATTTTATTTTGCTTCGTTAATATCCTACCCCGACGGATAAACACAGAGCTACTCGTTATACGCAATAATTCTCATAACAGCATCGTTAAAGTTAAGTCGTGCATCGGCGGTACTATAGTATTTTACAAATATGTTTAACGCGTAATATAAAATTTTTTTCCTTCGCTCAATCATTTTCTCGTGTGTCAAATAATTCTCGTATATATGTTATCCATCGTATATAGCCTATATACACTTAATATTATTAATGCATATAATAATATAATATATAAAGGGGGAAAAATGACAATGATGTAATTCGAGCGTAAGCTAACACGCGTTACTTTCCAGTGTTGTGTTTACACTATACACGCGCTCTTTAATAAACTTAATGAATTTTAATTTAATCATTTTTCGCATAAATCACTTGCGCGCGCGCGCGCGTAAACGAGCTTTTTTCATTATTACCCGGAGTTATGTGGCTCTCATCGTCGCGGAGGGGGGCTCCTCCCGGACTTTTCTTTATGCACAAGCATCGCTGCTGCTGCTGCTGCCACTGCGCACAATGTAAATGCAATTACTGCTAATTATTACAAAACACAGAGCAGCAGCGGCAACCAACCAGCCCCCCGCGCGCCTGTCCGTCCGTCAGAGAAGCCCCGGGATGGGTGTGCTTTTGTTTTGCGCGCGCAGCAGCAAAGAGAGCGAGAGAGAGAGTTTATATGCATCGTTTCGCACGGCGCACAAAGAGCTCGAACCGTCAATTAAAGCCTTTCTTTCTTTCTCTCTCGCGCTCGCGTTTCATTTGTAATAAGCGTTCGATATTAATAAACCAACTTTCGCGTGGGGAGGGTGTATGCGTGTACGAACGAAATCAAATTACGCGAAACAAAACGTCACATTACAGTCGGTTACACGTGTTTAAATACACAAAACGTTTCTACAATAATATAATTTCCAACACATTTCCGATCTCTGCATTAATACGATGCTGGTGTACCGGTACGTACTACTACACTGTAGGCAATTACAGCCACCGGTACAATAATGATAATAATGATAATAATAGTTGGAAACGGCGAATCACCCCCCGGGGGAAAGACTGTGATTAGAATTTCTCTGTGTCGTATTATATGAGTAAACAAGCGATTCGAGCTTTCGCATGTAGAAAAACCTCCACTACAGAAGATAAAACGTATGATATATAATGGGTATTCCTCGCTCGACTCGAAGCAGGAAAGTTTGAAAATAATTTCGCTCCGTATTTACACAACGATCGTCCTCGTCGTCCTTCCCTTTTTACTCGAAAACCGCGTCCACCGCCTCCCTGATCTTCACGATGATGAAGCTGTTCTTGCAGAACTGCACCAGCATCTCGATCCTCTGTCAGGACGGCCTGCGCAGCTGGGGCAGCGCCACCATGTAGACGTTGCCCAGGATGGCGCCGACGACGAGCAACGTCAGACTGACCGCCGAGCAGAGCCTGACGAAGCGCACGAAGCGCCGGCCCCGGGCGTCCTTCTTGCTCTGATGCGGGAAACAGGCCAGACCGAGGAGAGGACCCGCCAGGGCACCGGCCAAGTGGGATTCCCAGCCGATGCGGCTGCCCCGAGCAACCGTGGACGAAGAGGAGGTGGAGGAGGAGGCGAGCGACATGAGGCCGGGCACCGGGAACGAGGCCACGTCCGCGGCCGCGAGCAGCAGCACCGCCAGCAGGCGCCAACTCGCGTAGCGTAGCTCGCCGTGACACTGCAATTATGTATTAGTGTATAGAGAGAGAGAAAGAGAAAAAAGCACGAAAAGCTCTGGTTAAAGTAAAAGGTGATTGATGATGATGGCAGGCGGGAAAGTGAGAGCGAGAGCGACAGGCTCGAACGAAAAAGAATAATGGTGAACAGCTGCGACGCCTGCAAAGTTATTAGAGCAAATTTTACAAAGAGAGCTTGCGCGACCCGCCTGCTACTGCGTGTGTATAAAAGCACGTTCCTGCACCCGCTCGTTCTCTCTTTCTCTCTCTCTCTCTTTCTCCTTCGTCATGCGCGCGGCGGCGTTATCGAACAACGATACAAATTAAAGCTAAAGAGAGAGAGAGAGAGAGAGAGAGAAAATAGTAAAAACCGTTTAAAAGATAGTGTCAAATAAATATATGAAACCCCCGTTTTCTAGTCTTTTTGAACCTCCGCGCGAGTATAAAAAAAAAATAAATAAATATAAAGCCGGCCGCCCGGTTGCTACATATCGCTATACAGTACCAACGGATAGTGTAGCTGCCTCAGGCCTGGTTCCATATATATACGTAAAAAAGATAACAACAACGACAAAAAAAATGAATAAAAAAAAAAACAGCAGCGAACAAAGCCACGTAAAGCTCCCGCGTGGACCGTTAAATATAATTTTACGATTGAAGAGCGAGATAAGCGCGTACAGCGCGAGCGAGCGAGTGCACGTACGTATGGAATAAAAATACACGTATGTATAATAGCGCAAAAACAAAAACAAAAAAAAAAAAATAAAAGGATGGGGGAGACAAAAAAAATCGAGCAAACGGAGGGTAAGCATAATAATACACGGGGATGCAGAAGCTGCAGACTCACCAGATAAAGATGGGAGAGGTGGCTGGTGAGAAGTGCATAAACTCCAGCGGAAGCCCCGACGAGATAGAGGTTGGGCTGCAGCAGCGAGGCGCCGAGAGCCCCGCAAACTCCGCCGCCGAGATAAATCGTCCAGACCGCCAGACGGCCCTGCTCTACCTGTGAGTGTGTGGGGGAATATACATGTATTCAAAGAGTGAGAGAGAATTGCTGAAGGAGCATATTATATAAATACGTATATAGTAAAGCTGCGTGGAGAAGGCGAGAATTTTCTATGAATATAATTCGCATTCTCTGTTTGTATATCAAGTCGGAGGAAAAGCTCCACCGGTATATACCTTGATATTGAATGTGTCGGTCTATATCTCGTACGATTATCGTTACGTTGAACTCTCACTCGAAGCCAACTCGTATATCGTATCGTTTGCCAGCAAATAAACACACGCGATCTTGTATAAACGTAATAATACAAGCGAGTAAATACGAACGTCGTTTCGTGCCGGCGGATCGAAGCCGAAAATTTACCAATGCTTTGAGCTTGCGCTCGCGTCGCCTTAGGGGCTTTTCTCGTGTATTATATATATATCCAAGCGCGCACGACAAAGCCCAAGCAGCTTTAAGACCATTATGAAGTTTAACGAGCTTTGTATTAATTCTATCTGAATTATCACCGCGCGTTTGCCTGTGTTTGCAAGCTCTCTCTCTCTCTTACTCGTAAATCACTCGTACGCTATATATTAGCGTAAAAGTCGCTTATTTATCGCGCGCCACGCATTTCTCTAATACGCGAGGCGCGCGCATTTTTGTGCACTAGTCGTGTTTATGAAAATTTACAGTCACGCGCGCGCGCGCAAACCACGTACGAAGATACACACGGAGAGCTTTTTTTGGGGGGGGAGAGCTTTTACCGAGTAAACAAAAACGAGCTGTATCAGCGTTAAAGAAAAACGCCAACGTCGCGAGTGGAAAGATAGAGAACGAGAGCTTTTACAACGTTTCGCGCGTAGTAGTGTATAAAGCTGCGGTGAAAATTTTTCGAAGGAAATGGAGCGACGACGAGCCACGCGCGCGCGCGGGTATGTGTGTGGGTGGACGTGTGCTTTTCGCGCGAACGCGACGGCAGTCCCGTAGTACTATATACTACGCTCGTTGTTGACCTTATTGAATTGGCTTTAATTGGCCTTACCTCGAGCGGAGTGGCCAGTAACAGTTGAATGACCACGTTCAGAGCTAAGTGAAGAGCGTCTGAGTGCAAAAGCATGTAGGATATAAACCTCCAGCCCTGGAGCCGCTGCCGCGGGTCATAGACCAGCCATTCTCGTAACGTCGCCTCGTCGCCCAGGCAGTGAACCGCTATCTGCAAGCAGAAGGAGAGAGAAAAGAAATCGCGTGAGTTTTTTTTTTTTTTTTTTAGTAAAAGAAGGGAAGGAAGAGAAAAAGAAAAACGAAAAGAAGAAATAGTACAGAAGTATAGTAAGAAGAAGAAGGGAAACATTCTTTATTTCACTCTCTCTCACTCTTGCTCTTGCTCTTGCTCTTGCGCGCCATGGCTTTCTTTTTCTTGCTCTACTGCTTTATTTCTTCGGTGGGACGTAAGCTCGCCTAGCGCGTGTATATAGAGCGCGAGCTGCTGCAGTGTACGACGGGGGGAGTGGGATGCTACGTCTCTCTCTCTCTTTTAGTCGTTCGTTTTTTCTACTGCTACTCTACCTTCATAGTTTTTTGCGCGGTGTACTGCACTCGTGTGGCGCTGCAGCCTGTGCGCGCACGACGACGACGACGACGACCACTTTGCGACAAATAAAAAAAAAAAGCGAAAGCACAGAAAGATAGAGAGATGGAGAGAGAGGGAGAGAAAAAAGCTCGCTTTTTGTTTGATAAAAGGGGCGCGCTGCTCGCGAGCGAGCCACGTGCTCTTTATATCCGCACCAAACTGACCAACTTTCGTTATATTGCCTCTCGATATTGTGAGAGAGGAAAAAGATGTGTACTCGAAGCAGCAGCAGCAGCAGCAGCAGCTCTCGAAAAGAGAGAAAGAGAAAAAGAAAGTCGAGAGCCAATCGCGCGTACTACACACAAATAGTATTATCTCGTGTATACGGCTGTTTTCGGTTTCTACAATTGTGCGCGTGTATAGGTGTGTTATCGTAAAGACAGATACGTTATTGTTTGAGCATGTATATTTTTTCGAAACGCGTATAGCATTATAAAGCTCCCGTGCTTGGACACTGCGGTCGAGCGTGTACTTATTCATGACACAAGTATATAATTCCTCGAGCGCGAGCGCGTTAAGTAGATAATGGATTTCTACCTCCCGGTGAGAACGCAAAAATTAAACGAATCAAATATTTTTACGACGTGCTTTCGCCGCGCGACGCAAGCACGCGCGGAACAACCGTAAGTACACCGAGGATTTAAAAAAAAAAAAAATATAATAAATATACACATAAACGCAGGCGCGTCGCAAGCTCGAGCGAGAGAATTAGATTCTCCGGCACGGCTGCTAGCTATATACCACCACTGCTACGCTCTTGTCACGGTAATTTCATTCCCGTGGCAGAGCCGTCGTCGCTGCGAGCTGCTGCGAGCTTTCTTGGCCAATTCACGAAGCGCCGCGACGAGGTAATGCGAGCGTTGAGGTATGATGCATATTTAGGCTAGCAATGTCGAGGCAATTTTAGGCGCATCCCCGAGTACGTTCAACTCACTCGAGAGAGAGAGTGAGTGAGTGAGTGACTGAAATATAACTTTGGCTTCTCTATGTGTGCGTAGGCGTATACGTGCATAAAGAGCCATAATGTCCTCGGCGACGATATATATGGCCCTGGCTGTACATCACAAGTGCCTCGCTCCACCCGCCGTGAAAGTTCCATCATCATCATCATCATCATCATCATCATCATAATCATTATCATCATCATCATCCTAGTGGCCGTCGCGTCCAATGCAAGCTCGCCAGCTGCAGCATAACGAAGATTGAAGAGTGTATACGCAACAGCGTGACCCTGGCCGGGGGTTCGCGCAGGGGGCTTGTTAATAATAATTATTATCGTACGCATACGCATCGTACTCGCAAGCTCGAATGTATACGCGGGAGAAAGACGCTTGCGCGCGTCATCAATTTATTAACGCTCACAGCCAGCCACCAGCTCATATGCTATTATGCGCGTTTATATATCGAGGTTTACGTTGGATTTGCGCTGTCGGCTGCGCAGGTTCGCGCGCGATTCTCACGTACAACGCACCACCACTATACGGATTCGATGAATGCCATTTCGTTCCCGCGTCTATTTCTTTTTTGCCTGCACTTTCTCGTCCGCCGCGCGACGTATACATGTATCTACTATGAGCTTTTGTATGCAACGCGCAACTCATTGCGCCCTCTCCTACCCCCCACTTGTGTGCGTGTGTGTGTGTGTATGTTTTAATTTTGAAGTGCTGGCACGTAGAGCTTGCGCGAGCGCCGCACCGTAGAGGTATATGGTAGATAGTACGAGCGTGACGACGCGCGCCACGCTCCTCGCGACGACCGACGACCATTCTCCGCACGCGCGTTTCTGCATTTTTTACTCGCGTTTCTTTTCCGACTCTGCTGCGCCGGTTGTTTTGTATACATTTTTTTTTTTTTATTATTCGACCATCCCTGCCACGCGCGCCCTTTAGCTTACACATATATCCGTACGCGCGCGCGCGCATGCGCGCGTTTTTTCAACTCGGCGCAAAGTTTTTAATTGGAAAGTTGATTGCCGCGGTAAGAATCAGCTGTGCGCGCGACTTTCATTTGTTTCGACGCTTGATTGCAACTTTTCGTAAATAACTGTAACAACGATAATAAACGATAATAAAAAAAAACAACCCACGCAGAGATGGAGGCAGAAATGCGTGCGAGAATTACACGATATGAACATAACACGCCCGACGACGCGTCCATAAAAAATTGCCACTGCGGTCAGCTCAGCCGCGGGTTATACGTGCAGCGATGCAACGAGGTGCTGCGCTGCGCTCGTCGACACCATAATATAACGCCCATAATGCATACGTATATAACGCCGTGCTCCGACCGCAAGCTCGCTATATGTACACGGTGCACGAGGCCGAAAAAGCGAAGCCAAGCCAACGTTTTCACGATGTAAACACACACACACACAGATGTAAATAAATATACAATGGAGCGCGTCAGCTAGCTGCAAGCTACAAGCTGCACTCCAGTGATATTCGGGACACAGGGGGGAGGGAAGGAGGAAGAGGAAGAGGCGGGGGTGCGAGTACAGTGGGTGAAAACCGCAGCGAGCAGCCCTTGTGTAAGCCTCGGCACTAAGCGGTTACAACCTCATTGCGCTGCGTGAGTTTGCGGCCGTGTTCATCGTCGTTATTTTCGTTATTACTCTCTCTCTCTCTGCGTGCCACTGTAGTAGTAGTAGCAGTAGTAAACGCGCGCGCAAACACCGAAAATTCAGACTCGGAAATGCGCGCGTAATGCCGAGTAAGAGAAAGCTCCCCTCAATGGAATGCATTTTCCCTTTATATGATGTTTTTTTTTTCTTCGTGTTTTGCCTCCTCAACAGAAGCAGAAGCAGAAGCAGAAGCGGCAGTGGCAGCAGCATCAGCTCGTGCCTCGTTTAAACAACAAATCCTTTAACCTCCTTAGTCGAGCGAGTTAAGCCCTTTCCTCTCTCTCGTTGCTGCTGCTGCTGTTACGTTGAACTACGTCGAGTTCGGGCGCGCGTCTGCTTTTATAAACGCGCCGCAATTGGCCGACTACGACGACGACGACGACGAGCTTTCGTATTCAGTTCTGGCTTTCGACGAGGAACTGCTAGCTACCTAGCTAGCTAGCCTCGGGATGAAATTTGCTTCGTTTTTCTTTTTTTTTGGCGCGTTGCAAGTTTCGTCGAATCTTCCGCAAGCTCATCCTGCACTGCGAAAGTTAATGATCCTCGCACCCTTTTTTAAGCTTCGACTGTAGCAACCCTTCCTCCTCGACAAAGACAATCGAAACTTTTCGATTAGCTGCTATGAATTTCAAATTTTCGCTCGCGAAATAAATCGTAGTACCCCCGCAGCTGCAGCGCCGTTGCCACCGCTACTGGCTGCGCGCGTAGACAGTCGTATTACAGGAAACCGCGGGGCCGCGGCGCACACGCGCTTGAATTTTAACATCGAACTTGATGATGCCTCATAAATTAAACATATGAAAAACGAAAAGAAGAAAAATCGCAGGAAAGAAAGAGAGAGAGAGAAAGAGAGAAAAGTTGGCTCCAGCCCCGCACTGTGTGCGTCAGGAAAAGTGATAAATCATCACGACCGATGCGTATATATATATATCACCGTCGTGCGGGTACGTACATACACATGCACCGTTAGTGCAAAGCATACATATATGTGTACGTAGAGGACAGTAAAGGCAAGAGAGAGAGAGAGGGAGAACGTCAACGCGGCGAGCTTGCAGCGGCCCTCCCAAGAATCGCTGTAAATCTTGCACGCGGGCTGCGCTCTTGGTTGTAAAACGACGCGGCCCCGTCCCTTCCGGCTGAACGGAGTCAACTTTATGAATTTGTGCCTGTATGCGTGTATGTACGTGTGTGTGTGTGTGTGTGTGTATGGGAGCTGCCAGCAATATACACCGGAGCGGCAGAGCACAGTCTTATACGCGAACCTACGTACATGTGTATGCATCTACGTTCGGATTACTTCCTCGGCAAATTAGGAATGCATTCGCTGTCTGTGGTTTTGAACTTGTGTGTGTGTCTGTGTCATTGCAACGACTGCGTATACATAAGGGAGCTTATATCCAGCAGCTGCAGGAAATGGTGTATATATAATATGTGTGTATGTATGTGTGTGTGTATACTTCGCAGACGGAAAGGAAGTCGCGCGGAGCTTGCGCGCTTGCAGCGGCCGAATGATTATCGACCGTGTCCCATGCTGCTGCTGCTGCTACTGTAGAGCTTGGCATGCCACGTTTGCTTGCGGGCACATATATAGCCACACACTACCGTTACTATCGTAGCGTCGAGCTCCTACGTAGTGGCGAATAACCCGGCAAAATAATTCTCGTAGTTTTTCCTTACGATTTAGATAAAAGCGAGAGAGATAGAGCCGAGAGATAGAGAGAGAGAGAGAGAAAAGGAAGGAAGAAACTTTGAAAGTTTTGCCGGGGCCCAATTGCCGACTGAATAACTTTTATACGTACGCGTTATACGCGCGCATCTACGAGTCCGCGTGTAAGCTTATTTTTGCGTGAGAGGAGGATTGCAAGCTCCGGAGCTTGCGTTCTGAGAACACGTGTATATATGCGCGAGTGCGCGTCTGTTCGCGCATACAGCCTCACACACACGCATGCACTTTTTCTATAATACTACCCTGTGAGCGAGGTTTTTGTGTTATACACGGATCTCGGGGGGCGATTTCAAGATTTTAATATTCCTGGCGTGGTTTTGATTATTGGAAAAGTTTTGCTCTCGACTCTCTCATGCCTTTACCCTCCTCCGGCCATTCGTGCGCCGTATATAACCAAAAGAACTCGGAGAGGTAATTGTTTCGTAGCGTTTCTCGCAACGAGCTTTTCTCTCTCTTTCTCTCTCTTATTCTCGTTGATGCGAAAAGGTGTTGCACGCTTTTTTTCTATAGCTACTCCCCGTCGTGCGCGCGTAAACCCTTTTTTTTCTTCCTCATCCCTTTCCAGCTTTTCTTGCGGGGGTGGGGACAACTTTATTGAACTTAGTTCCCCAAAGAGCACTAGATTATACGTTTAATATTTTGCCCAGAGTTATATCGTTTGTATACCAACAAAAAAAGAAAAAGAGCGAGGTAGAAGTAAAAAGGGATTGTAAAAAAGTTTCCAGGGGCGAAAACTTACTTCGACGATGCTTATACAAATCATGAGATAAGGCGGCCTGATGCGGAACTTGGGCCTCGGCGCCGACTGTCGGCTGATAATGACGACCGGCGTGAGCTCCTCAACGATCAGGTTGTCGTCCTCCGACTCCGTGTCCGTGAGACACTTTCCCGCACCCAACCCGGGACTGCCGCAGTGGACCGGCTCGATCATCGCCGTCGTCGTTGTCGTCGTCGTCGGGGAGCCCGTCGGCGTAGCGGTGGCATCGTCGACCAGCGCGACGTACGTCCGGTCGGTGAAGTCCGAGGACACGAATGACATGGTGGGTGAGCCCTCGAGCAGGGCCGCTTCCACGTCCTTAGTGACGCCTGTGAACACGAGAAAAATTCGGAAGAAGTTAAAACTTTGATTCATGACGTACATGTGTAAATATCGTAACATTTTAATATTTGTGTCATCTCCACAATATTCGTGTGAAAACTTAAAAGTTACCATTCCTGGCATTGTTTATGTTCAATTTTCAAGTTTTTTTTTCCTTGAGAACGACTTCTAGTGGGATCCAAACTCGAATTCATACAAAAATCATGTTCATACTTTACTCTGGCCTAAAAAGCAATTATGGCTAACGCAACATTCAACGTGACAATATGACAGGAGAGCTCGAACTCGAGTGAAGGTGGATTGAAGCACGCGCACCTTCCCGCCTACTGATCATTTAAAAAGATGCGATAGTATGTGCAGAAAATGAAAAAACTAAGGGGAAATTATTTTTCAACGTGTACTATTTTCTAGTTATAATTTCTTTGTAATAAAATTCAAAGAAAATTGCTAATTGTTTATTACGCTGGAGATCAATTGTATAATTTCTCCAATTAAATAGTAAGTTTAGAGTGTCTCTGTTGACATAAATTTTCTCAAACTTTCATTTTACAATTTGTAAATATTATGACGATCAAGTTACCTAGTTTGATGTGTAATATCATTACAGAAAAATTAGTCGCTGATCAATTTGCGAGTGATAAACATGGACTTCAGCGGTGTATATAACTCTGATGTCAGGTAAATTTTATTTTGTGAGAATAATATTTTAAAAAAATTGTAGTATTATACTTAATTTCAATATGAATATTGCAGGGTAAAGGAGGAACCAAATGATGTTTTCCCAATTGAAAATGATGATTATGAGATAATTGGCAATGCACACGATGCTAACACTGATGAATCCTCACGATGTCTAGAAAATTTTGTAAGTGTTCAAATAGGACTGCTTACAGCTGACATTTTCAACAACAATTTTCCCTAATCGTAAATATAAATTATATATTTTTAGACTCACGGGCCTAAAGATATCGAAATAGAATTCGAATGTAAGGACGAAAAGTCAAGCATTAACTTATTAGTGGTCAAAAAGATCGAGGACGATTATCCAGATCAGTTGCAACATATGAAAAATAGTTGCGATTATCAGACTCAAAAGAAAATTAAAGAAGAAATTGTCGACGAAGTAAAAGAGGAATTGAATTTAGATGGTGAACTCAGTGATGCATTCGATGTAACTGCAAAAATATTTGCTAAAAAAAAAATATGCGAAACCCGCACTGATAAGGCACACAATCCTGCGAAACATCAATGTAATAAATGTGGTGAAAAATTTACAATAAAAAGTTATCTTGAAATGCACATCGATGCAGTTCATAATGACGTTAAGCATACATGTGTTACATGTGGAAAGACATTCAAACACAAAGTTACTCTCAAAATTCACATCGATGCGATTCATAATGGTATGGCACAAACATGCGAAGTATGCGGGAAGAAATTTCAAACAAAGACTAAACTCAAGGTCCACGTCGATGCAGTTCATAATGGTGTTAAACATGCGTGTAGTATATGTGGAAAAACATTCACACAAAAAGGTGCTCTCAAAATTCACATCAATGCTATGCATAATGGTATGACATTTACTTGTGAAATATGTGAAAAGAAATTCGCAACTGAGACTTCACTGAAGCTTCACATCGATGCAGTACATAATGGTGTTAAACATGAATGTGGTATATGTGGAAAGACATTCACACAAAAATGTTATCTCAAAATCCACAACGATGCGATTCATAATGGTATGGCACCAACATGCAAAGTGTGCGGAAAGAAATTCCTAACTAAGACTAAACTCAAGATCCACATCGATGGAGTACATAATGGTGTTAAACATGCGTGTGATATATGTGAAAAGACATTCACACAAAAAGGAAATCTCAAAATGCACATCGATGCGATGCATAATGGTATGGCACCTAAATGCGAAATATGTGAAAAGACTTTCACACGAAAAGGAGATCTCAAGAGGCATATTGATGGACATAATGGTGTTGAAAATGCGTGTGGTATGTGTGGAAAGACATTCTCACAAAAAAGAAATCTCAAAATCCACGCGATGCGATGCATAATGGTGTGACACCTACATGCTAAATATGTGGTAATACATTTGCATGTAAGAATAGTCTCAAAAAGCACACGGAGTCAATGCATAATAAGATCACTTACGTTTGTTATACGTGCGGCAAGACATTTTCACAAAAAGAACGTCTGATAATTCACATTAGAACACAGCACGAAGACATTGATCACACATGTGTTTAATGCGGAAAAAATTTGCAGAGAGGAGATATCTACATATGCACGTCAAATGTATGCATAATGTCAATACCCAATCACGAGACCAATGCAAAAGATCTTAGAACGTTTATCAATACCGCGTAAAATGATAAAAACATCGAGACAAATGAGTGGCCGTAAAACTGTCATCGAAATAGTGCATCACTCACGCATAACCACCCAATAAATGTATTAAATGTATATTGAAATATTGTAAAAAACAATTACTATTATATTTCAGATCACTCCTGTGTTTTCCATCTGACTGCTTAAGAAACGATCAAGTTTTAAATAAATTAATAAACTTTTTATTACAAAAAAAACATGATGTTTCATTTTAATAAATCTATCTATAATTTTTAACAATCTGTACGGTTTTTTTGATCATTCAAATCACGTTATGAAGATTTTAGCAGAAGGTATATCTTACATAAAATGTCAAATTAATTCTTTATAATCGCCATTTTTGTTTCAACTTTTTTTTTCACACACCTTAGCTGTCGACGAAGTTGTCGAAGTGAAATAATACATCCTCGTAACCAACCTCGTATCGACGATATACATTACCGATATACGTTTCACGTGGAGCTTTTTATGCTATTATAATGTCGTTTACGCGCGAAACAATATCGAACACGTCGTCGCGGACGCTATATTATAATTCGAAATTTAAACTCGTATATGCAAATTACATACACACAAAAAGGAGATCTCAAGAAACACATCGATGCGATTCATAATTGTATGACACCTAGTTGCGAAGTGTGTGGAAATTATGAATAAGACATTCACACTTAATGGTAGTCTTAAAAACCACATGAATACGATGCATAGTGAGATTACTTACGTATGTAATATGTGCGGCATGACATTTTCTCAAAAAAATCGTCTTATAACTCACATTAAAACGCAGCATGAAGACATTGCATGCGTTATCTGCGGAGAAAAATTTAAACATAGAAAATATCTATACAGACACATCAAAAATCAGCATAAGGGCAATACCCAAGCACGAGATCAATGCAAAAGATCTTAAAATGTCTATCAATACCACACAAGATGATAAAACATTAAGACAAATGTGTGGCCGTAAAACTGTCATCGAAATAGCGCATCACTCACGCATTACCACCCAATAAATGTATAAAATGTACATTGAAATTTTGTAAAAAACAATTACTATTATATTTTGGATTACTCCTATATTTTCCATCTCACTGCTTACTAAACGATCGAGTTTTAAATAAATTAATAAACTTTTTATGACCAAAGAAAAACATGATGTTTCATTTCAATCAATCTTTCTATAATTTTTATCAATCTGTATGGTTTTTTTGAGCCTACAAATCATGAAATGAGGATTTTTGCAGAAGGTGTATTTTGCATAAAATTTCTAATTAATTCTGTATAATCGCCAGCTTTTTTTCAATAACAAATGAAGAAAAACGCTGAGCACTCAATCACACACAAAGACACACACCTTAGCAGTCCCGTATAAATTCATGTATGTTATATACTTAACTTTGGCCTAAAAAGCAAAAAGCTTCGTCCAGCCACCCTCGCGAACGCTGAGTTTTTATAATATGTAACGGTGTGATAGTGATTATTATTAAAAGATCGGCAGCGATGATCTATATGTATTATATGTCCCAAAGAGCAGGTATACATACGTTATTATGGCTAATGCAATATTTGACGCGGCGTGACAATATAACAGTGAAGCTCGAACTCGAGCGAGGGTGGATGAAAGCACGTGAACCTTCACGCCTACTGATCATTTAGAAAAATGCGATCGTATGCGGGGAAAATGAAAAAACTAAGGGAAAATGATTTTTCAATGTTACTGAATCTTCAGCTCGGAAAACAGAAAGAATTCATAGTTTCACAGTTTTGATTGGGTAACGCGATTTACGTTATCGAAGTTTGATTTCGATGCCGTCCGGACATGATGGTTCATTAAATGAGAAATTGATCAAAATCAATTAAACATGTTAAAAACGTTGATAAATGGGGATTGAAAAATTGCTTGATGTCGCTACTACAATTATGCCGCTTTACTTCACTACACGCGCCTGGCACAGGTATACATATTTACGCTACGCTTCGCTATAGTTTCGTCAACTCGTGGATCTGAATGTGTCCTCGGTACATCGAAGATGATTGCCCGTGTCTCGGCGATATAAATTTCGCACGTGGTTCCGACACAATCAACAAAAATTTCTAACGATCCCCACACAATACTGTCGTAGGTCATCATCAGCTGACAGCTCGCTTCTAACATGTAAAATAATTACTTTTTTCTATTCATAATTTCTTTGTAATAAAATAAAATTCCAAGAAAATTGCCAATTGTTTATTACGCCGGAGATCAGTAGTATGATTTCGCCAATAATAAATAGTAAGTTTAGAGTGTCTCTGTTGACATAAATTTTCTCAAACTTTCATTTTACAATTTGTAAATATTATTACACTTATGTTACCTAGCTCGATGTGTAACATCATTACAGAACAATTAGTCGTTGATTAATTTCCGAGTGATAAACATGGAATTCAGTGGTGTATATAACTCTGATGTCAGGTAATTTTTTTTTCGTGAGAATGAAATTTAAAAGAAATGGTATAATGCATTATATTATTGGGAATATTGCAGAGTGAAGAAGGAACCAAATGATGTTTCCCCAATTGAAAATGATGATTATGAGATAATTGGCAATGCACACGATGTCAGGTAATTTTTGTTTTGTGAGAATGATATTTCAAAAAAGTTTTAGTATTATAATTAATTTTAATGTGAATATTGCAGCGTGAAGGAGGAGCCAAATGATGTTTTCCCAATTGAAAACGAAGGTTATAAGATAAGTGACAATGCACACGATGCTAAAACCGACGAATTCTCGATTTTTTTTCGAGATAATTTAGTAAGCGTTGATGTGGGACTGTTTAGTCAATATTTTTATCAAGTATATTTACTAATCTCGTTTCCAGATTCATGGGCTTCAAGAATATGATGAAGATTCTGTACCTAATGAGGATTTGGAAATAGAATTCGAATGTAAAAACGAGAAGCTCGGCATTAATTTATTATTAGTCAAAAAGATCGAGGACGATTATCCAGATCATTTGCGGCATATGAAAAATAGTTGCGATTATCAGACTCAAAAGAAAATTAAAGAAGAAATTGTCGACGAAGTAAAAGAGGAATTGAATTTGGATGGTGATTTCAGTGATGCATTTGATCCAAACAAAAAAACATTTGCTCAAAAAAGTCTATGCGAATCCCAAACTGATAACGCACGCAATCGTACCAAATATCCATGTAATGTATGCGGTAAAAAATTTTCACAAAAAGGTACTCTCAAGGTCCACATCGCTGCTGTTCATAATGACGTCAAGCATACATGTGTTACATGTGGAAAGACATTCAAACGCAAAGGTACTCTCAAAATTCACATCGATGCGATTCATAATGGTATGGCACTAACATGCGAAATGTGCGGAAAGAAATTTCAAAGAAAGGATAAACTTAAGATTCACATCGATGGGCATAATGGTGTTAAACATCCTTGTAATATATGCGGTCAAAAATTTACACAAAAAGGTAATCTTAAGGTCCACATCGATGCAGTTCATAATGGTGTTAAACATGCGTGTAATATATGCGGTCAAACATTCACCCAAAAAGGAGATCTCAAAATTCACATCGATGCAATTCATAATGGTATTAAACATGAGTGTAGTATATGTGGAAAAACATTCACACATAAATGTACTCTCAAAATTCACTTCAATGCGATTCATAATGGTATGTCACTTACTTGCGAAATATGCGGAAAGAAATTTCAAACGAAGGATAAACTCAAGATCCACATCGATGGTGTACACAATGGTGTTAAACATGTGTGCATTACATGTGGAAAGTCATTCACCCAAAAAGGTAGTCTTAAAATCCACGCGATGCGATGCATAATGGTGTGACACCTACATGCTAAATATGTGGTAATACATTTGCATGTAAGAGTAGTCTCAAAAAGCACATGGAGTCAATGCATAATAAGATCACTTACGTTTGTTATACGTGCGGCAAGACATTTTCACAAAAGGAACGTCTGATAATTCACATTAGAACACAGCACGAAGACATTGATCACACATGTGTTTAATGCGGAAAAAATTTGCAGAGAGGAGATATCTACATATGCACGTCAAATGTATGCATAATGTCAATACCCAATCACGAGACCAATGCAAAAGATCTTAGAACGTTTATCAATACCGCGTAAAATGATAAAAACATCGAGACAAATGAGTGGCCGTAAAACTGTCATCGAAATAGTGCATCACTCACGCATTACCATCCAATAAATGTATTAAAGAGACATTGAAATTTTGTAAAAAACAATTACTATTATATTTTGGATTACTCCTGTGTTTTCCATCTGACTGCTTAAGAAAAGATCAAATTTCAATAAATTAATAAACTTTTTATTACAAAAAAAACATGATATTTTATTTGAATCAATCTATATCCATAATTTTTATCAATCTGTACGGTTTTTTTGATCATTCAAATCACGTAATGAGGATTTTGGCAGAAGGTGTATCGTACATAAAATGTCAAATTAATTCTTTATAATCGCCATTTTTGTTTCAACTTTTTTTTTCACACACCTTAGCTGTCCCGTACATAAATTCATATATATCTGCGTGAGAGAGATAGAGTCGACGAAGTTATCGAAGTGAAATAATACATCCTCGTAATTTACAATCATCAATTTCGTCCAGATATGCTCGCGCGCTAAGCGCCAAGCGGTGGCGGCAGCGGCGGCGTATAAGTTTAAAAATGAAAAATATCCCTGCCGGCCGGTACCGTCTATACAGCAGCAAAACGGCACATACCTATATATCGCATAAATCACACAATGAGAACAAATGAGCAGTAGAGACAGAAGCACTCTAACTCTTTCCTCCGTAGCTTCCACCACCACTATTACACACCAGCGGAGCACAAGCAAGCCAGCCAACGGGTCAGTAATACTACATCTCCCTCACTGCGCCTTTCCATCTCTGCTGCCGCCGCCGCTGCTTCTCTCTAACGGTCTTTGTTCGTGAAACTCGTGTTTTCGCGGCTTACAAGTGCGCAAACCGGGAGAATTTCGCCTCGCTGCTCTAAATTATTGGCAGGCAGCAGTAGAAGCAGTGGCTGTGTCTGTGTCTGTGTGTGTGTGCGGGGACTCGATCGCGGTGAATCACCGACATTTGTCTTTAGTCGCTCGATCCTCGCCGTTTTACTAATATCGAATGGATTCGTGGGTGGAGGAAGAGGAAGGATCGAGCAGACGTATAAATATTCCTAAAACGAGCGCGACGCGCGTCGTCGGCTGGAAAATTTTCGGGAAAACTATCATCCACGTATAGATATCGGCGAAGTAAAAGAGAATACGTAAGCAAGAATCGCGCCGCAAGGACTGATTAAAAGTCGCACACCGCGCGACGAGCTAAATGCAAAACTTGGCGCGCGTTTCGACATCGACGTCGACTTATCTCCCTGTATTCACTTCGCGGCGGCGGCGCTCGCGTTTACGTACACACGCGAAAAATACATATATCCAAGAAAAGGACTACGCAGGCGGGGGCCGTGTCAGAGATGCGCGAACGAAGCTCCGCACCGAGTTTGCTCTTAATCGGCTTAAAAGCCCCGAGCTCGCTCTGGCCTCGCTACTACTACCCCCCGCCCGCGCCAGCTCCTTTCGCAAGATGATGTGTGTCGGGGGATGGTTGCTGCCGCGTCGAGCTTGCTGCAAGCTCGACCCCGTAAGTGTGTGTGTGTGTGTGTAACTTTCATCCCAAAGTCTTAATGAAGCGCGAGCGTGACGATGGTTTAATCTCGCGAGATGAGTTTGCCCAACTATTCTCGTTAAGACGTTTTCGGCAACTTATGAGAGCAGAGGGTAGAGAGAGAGAGCGAAATTTTTGCCAAGTTTGGCCGCGCCACGCGCCACGCAAGCGCTATTTTATATACGTCCTCCTCCTCCTCCTTGCAATCTTTGGCCTTTTATATCAAACACACACACACACACACAGAGTCCCTTGCGTATACGTCAGCTCTCGGCTGGATTTTAATGGCTTTTCCGAAGAGCTGGGACCCCAGCCCTCCGCGCGCGCTCGATCGAGAAAATTGAAGCTTCGCTCGGAGGCCCTCTCGAGTCTCGCGCGCGCGCGCGTGCTTCGAGGACAAATTAAAAAGCTCGATTATATATAGTATAAAAAGCGCGCTGCATCCTTTAGTGGCGGTGGTGACGTCGAGCTATCTCAAGGTGGATATTATATCCACTATATATAATAGCTCGCGCAACGCGTGGCACGTATACCACCAACGTCGTCGTCGCCGGGTGCGGCTACTTCTTTTTCTCCCCCAAAAGCTCGTTCATCTACCTTATGATAATACGCGTGCATCGAGCCGCGCGCGCGGTTAATTTGAAAAATTCCTCGACCGATCGCAGCTATTCTTCTCTCGTCTACATACACATCGTGTTTCGGTGCGCGAGCTTCGAGTAAAATTAAACGCGCCGAATCAATATAGCAATATATACGCGCGCTGCGATACACGCGCGGCGTTTGTAAAGTACATACTCAATCGAGAAAATCGAGGGCTTGGCGCTCTATATGTATACAGATTGAGAGAGAGAGAGAGAGAGCTTGGGAGTCGTCTATGGGCTGCACTCCAATCACCGAAATAGTCCTGGAGCCAAAGAGGGGTCGGATCGGCCACGTGAAGAAGATGGATGAAAACATGTTATTCTTACGTATTTTTTCCCGCTGAATCCGAATATCATAGTTAAAAGTCGCTCAGACTGCCCAAAAATTTGTTATAAACAAATATATTGCAAAATGAAGAAAATTTAAATTTTTCTAAATTTTAAACACATATTTGTGTTCTTTGAGCAATTTTAAGCAAAAAGTGTCTCTTGTAAAATTTTCGTAAAATGATTATTTACCGAGATATTGAGACTCAAAGAGGAAAAAATGCACATTTTTGGCCATTTTCAAATACCCATAACTTTTGAAATAACAACGTTAGATCGATTTTAGACCCGTCATTTGAAAGATAAAAACTTAATCTTTAAGGTGATACTAATTTCAAACATGATTTATCATACTGGACATGTTTTTTTGCACTA